GTACACAAACACACATACCCCAGAAAGGACATAGGTCTTCTTTTCTGATAAACAAGAAGCCTAAGCTGTGCATGGTTTACATAATGGTGTTAGACAAAACCAACTCTCACAATATTCCACTAACACAGTGTAATCCGTAGCCCACATTTTGCCATATTCTGTGCTGTGATCTCATGAACAATTTAGTCGAATGCTTTGATGAAGCAAAAATACATTATGAACATAGTATTCCCAAGGCCAGCTATGCTGGTCACTCTATTAAAAAGGAGAGCAGGTTGATTTTACATGTGCAGAAATAGACTGTAAGAGATGAAAGCATTTAATTTTACATCCAGAGTAGTAAATCATATTCAGGCAATCCTCGACTTACAATAGGTCATTTAGTGACTGTTGAAAGCTACAACAGCACTGAAAAAAATGGCTTATGACCGTTTTTCACAATTATGACTATTGCAGCATCCCCGTAATCACATGATCAAAATTCAGGCACTTGACGACTGACTCATATTTAATAGTTGCAGTGTCCCAGGATCATGTGATCCCCTTTTGTGACCCTCCGATAAACAAAGTCAATGGGGAAGCCAGATTCACTTAACAACCATGTTACTAACTTAACAACTGCAATGGTTCACTTAACAACTGTGGAAAGAAAGGCTGTAAAATGGAACAACTCACTTAACAACTGTCTTGCTTAGCAAAAGAAACTTTGGATTCAATTGTGGTTGTAAGGCAAGGATTACCTTTATAAGGAAATAACTGTCATAAACTGTCAGTATGATTGTCAAGGAGGGTTCCAGACCAAGAAATGATCATTTGGGGGTTTCTTTAATGACAAGCCAGCTTTTTAAATGTCTTCTTAAGAAATTTATATCAACAACAATTTACTGCTTGGCCATACATATTAGCAGTAGCCAATGAAATAGATGTATTGAATCTAATAAATACTGTAACCTTAGAACACGACTTACCAGACACACAACAGAGTTAAATAATTTGTTCCAGAGTTTCACTTAGTACTGATGTCAAACTGACTAATCTATAGTTACTTGGGTCTGCCTTTGTCCTGTTTTTACTGTTGAATAGAGAAAAAACATTTGACCTCCACCAGTCCTCTGGCCCTGTGCCACTCAAAAGTATTTTTTCTTTGACTGGATGAATCTGTTCATTGTGTGCTACCAGGTACATAAGCCTGAGCATATGCATCCTTTATGCATCCTTTCTTTCAAGACAATACAGTAGTCTTTGTTTCTTACCTCCTGGACTTTTAGAAGCAAGAGAGGTACAAATGCAACGTGTAAATTTAGTTAAATTGTTTGCTTTAGCTATCAGAGGCTGCTTTTGAATAGGTATCCAATTGTCATTACAAAGTTTATTGAGAAGTTAAGGGAAGGAGATTGTTTGTCATATCAGTTGTCATTGACTGACATTTCAAAAGTGAAAGATACAGCTATGGTTGCTATGTTTGAACACTTCGTTCAACTAGCAGGATGTACCAAGAATACCTCCTTTCAGAGCTGTTACCTAGACAATCGATCAACTTTTGGGTTAGGACCTTTTGAGTTAAATTATTTTTGACAGTCCAGCAATCTATAGGAATAGATACAAACAGCAAAATGACCCTCATGATGGCTAGCCAGATACAGAGAGCAGTCTTTATCAATCAGTGTAGATCACCAACCTAAATCACTTATGCATATACCCTGTTTCCCCCAAAATAAGATCCTGTCTTATATTTTTTTGAACCCTGAAATAAGCACTTGGCCTTATTGCCATGCGCTCAAAAGCCTGATTGGGCTTATTATCAGAAGATGTCTTATTTTGGAGGAAACAGGGTAAGCACAATGGTGTTGATTTAGCTAACAGGATATGAGAACTCAGTGATGTTAAGAAAGTATTTTATGGGGATACATGCTCTAAATCCAAAATACCTTCTTTCTATTAATTACAAGAAGTATTGTGATCTTTAGAAACATACTGTTAGTGGTTACCTCTAATATTAGCACCAATGGAGAAAACAGATTAAATTCCCCTCCTGTATACAAAGTAATTTCAGAAGTGGAGCGATTGCAAAACAAGAGTGACCTTTGTCCTTAAGCGCAGCCTTATTTTTTTTTCCTTGGTACTGCTTGTTGTGAAAATAGTTTTGATTAGGGTAACAATTCTTCTGTGTTCTTACGTTTATAGGTAGAATAAGCATCTCAATGTATTATTTTACAGGGAGTAAAAAAATGGATATTACTGCTTTTGCAGAAAATCAACTCTTCAGAATACTGCCGTAGTGTTGTTTTGTCAGGTTCCTGTTGCGCATTCACTCACTTTACATAGCACCTTTCTTTCTGTGATCAATCAAAACTTGTACAGGTAGTCCTCGACTTACAACAATTCATTTAGTGACTATCCCAGAATGCCCCCAATCAGCTGTTCCCAGAGGTTAATTTTAGCAACAGGTTCATTGGTTGTGAGCTCTGTGCCTTGCTTTTTTTTCAGCCTCTGAAACTTCTAAAACTCTGTTTCAGAAAAAACTTTTTTTTCTGCCTCTGAAAGCCTCCAAAAGAGAGCTTCAGGAAAAAAAAGCTTCTGAAACTTCCTTTCAGAGGCTTTTTTTCTGAACCTACGTTTCTGAGGCTTTTTCAGCCTCTGAAACCTCCATTTGAGAGGCTGGGTGTGGCTACATTCGGAGTAAAAGACGCACCCAGATTTTCACCCTCTTTTTTTGGGGGAAAAGGTGCATCCTAAAAATATGGTAATTTAACAACTGCAGTGATTCACTTAACAAATGGGACAAGAATAGTTGTAAAATGGGGCAAAACTCATTTAACAAATCTCTGATTTGGCAACATAAATTCTGGGCTCAATTGTACACATAAATCAAGAACTACCTTTATGTGTTTTTATATATATGTAAATATAGAGAAAGGAATTTTTGAAATGACCATCAGAGCATTAGTATTTCCTATATTATTATAACACGCTCTGATGCTAATTAGTTAGACATTCTACTCCCCCTCCCAACTTGAAAATAACTCTGGAGAGAATGGGATAGCATAGGACAGGCTTCTGTGGGGCAAGCCTCATGGAGAGAAGGGGCTAGAAAGCCTGAGGGAAGGGGATAGGATAGGAGGGGATAGGATAGGAGACATTTCTGTGGGGCCAGCCTGAAGGAGAGAAGGGGATAGGAGAGGATCAGTCCGAAATAGATCTATATTAGTCTCCCAATAAGCAGCAAAATGCATGCTTGCTGTCTGAAGAAGCCTAGAGTAGTGGATGTGATTTCACTGAGCTAAGCCTGCAATTTGAGAAACTTGGTTTACGTAGGAAAATACCCGGTTGAAGAAAAATACATACAAAAACTTACGATAAGAGAAGAAAGCAAATACATAGTGTGTGTGTGTGTGTGTGTGTGTGTGTGTGTGTGTGTGTGTGTGTGTGTATTATATATATATATATATATATATATATATATATATATATATATATATATATATATATATATATTTGTTTTCTCATGTTTTCGCGGGTGTTTGTATGTAGGTCTTTGGTTATTCGGGTCTTCTCCCACGTAAAATTGGAAGTGTCTTGGCGACGTTTCGACGAAGTCTCATATTATATATGATTAATTAATTTAATGCCTCATACATTCTCGCCTCTTCCTGTTTATGAGAAAGGCAGTCTAACAGAGAGAATGGCATTCATACAGCGCGCCATTGACTATGGATCATGCCCCAACAGCTTAATGTTACATTCGTCTTTATGAATGTAATCTGTATACTTTATGCAGTATACGGATTAAATTTTGCATGACAAAATCATTTTCTTTGTGGTTTTGTTTTCCCCCAAGTGGAAAGCTCTATGAAACAAAATGGAAGAAAGTAGCTGACATAAGCCTGCTCAGCTGGACTCTTCCCTTCATACACACCAAAATACAGCATCATTGCCATAACCGGCCTTGTAGAAAGGATGCTAAATGTTTGGGCTTTTTGATTCCCAGTATAATTTACTGTATATTCATTTACTATTGTTTCATCATGCATGTAAACTCTTGAAAGGTGCTGTGAATAATCATAATTCATGAAGAAATTATTTTTTCTTGGGGAAAAGGCATTTTAATTTATTGTAGAGAAGAACATTGTGTTGTGTGGTTTTTTTGGCTACTGTCTGAAACAATGGTACGCTGCAGAATTTGATTGGTTCCATATGAATGAGGCTATAGCAGCCATGCTACAATGATCATCTTGGGGACCAGCAATGATTCCACTTTTCAGATATGCTTCTATCCTCATAAAGGAAATACTCCCTGATGCTTCTTGAATGTTAATATAGGCATGGAAGAGATCTATATTAAAAACTGTATAATGAAAAAGCTCACATTATCTTCTAATTAGTTTTTAAATTTAATTAGAATATAATGTGGGTTTTTTCATTAACCAGATTATTTTTACTGAAATTCTCATTTTACTATTACTTAGTCTTGAAGTTAGGAAACCTTGCCAAAAATAAAATCAGCTCCAAGTCTGTGGTATCCTCAAAGAATTATTATTCTCTCAGCAAAAGATGATTTTACCTACAGAGCTAGCTATTCACTTTTTTTTTTTTAATTTGATTTATATGCCGCCCTTTTCCGGAGACTCAGGGCGGCTTACAATGCGTTAATCAATAGCCTTCATACTTTTGTATATTTATACAAAGTCAGCTTATTGCCCCCATAATCTGGGTCCTCATTTTACCTACCTTAGAAAGGATGGAAGGCTGAGTCAACCTTGAGCCTGGTGAGATTTGAACTTGCAGTAATTGCAGGCAGCAGATGTAAGTGGATGTTAATAACAGTGCTTTAGTCTGCAGAGCCACCAGAGCACTTGGCTTTTATCCATCAGCTGGAATATTCATAAGTATCAGGAGTGACAGAAATAATCTAAAGGGCATAAATCAAATGCCCACACAGTTATACCTAGTCTTGCCTATTTCTACTAGGGCTCTTTGCTGCAAGATATTTAGTGCCACAATTTGTAATTCAAAAGTAGATTTTATTACAATAGTCCAATCCAGGCACAAATAATATGATTCTGTAGTTACATTATTATAAATTAAACTGTATTCACACAGAATAAAAAAATAGAGGACTACATCATGTACAATAAAATTAGTTACAAAGGGAACTCCTTTCATGCACAGCCAGCTCAATCAGTCACCCTTTCAGTCCTTAGCAAGTCATTTCCTTTCCTATCAATTTTTACAGCCATGTTTTTCCCCAGCAGTAGACAACAATTGCTCATCTATTATTTTATGTCAAGAACAAAAACAATGTTGGTTCCCCATTGGTAATACACAGGTATTTCAATTAATCAATCCCAACTTTTCAAAGAAATTGTTCCATTCTGGATCATTTATTCTTAAAGAGATTTTCTACAACCCGGTGTGACCAATATCAAAGCTAGCACAAATCTTCACTGCATATATTAGAAAAGGCCATTTTTAGAAGGCATAAACATTTCCAGGTTTTGTTTCCTCCCCCCCCCCTTGCATTTCTGGCTTTCAATACAAAAGGCCTTTCTGTTAATAGAGTTTTCTTATCACATTGTTTTTTGCAATTTCATTTATGTACATGCTAAAGATTCCATCTGGGTAGAGTAAATTGGTTAATTATACATTCAGGCCCCAGGCCCATGAAATCTTTAATTGCTGTAGATACGGGTTAAGAGAGTGTTGTGTCATAAGCTTGGCTTGTGGGAAGGTAATGCTTTCCTTTGCCTATCCCAGTCACTTTTCATCCATTTTGCAATAAAGATACATTGACACTGCCATTGCTCCAATCTGAAAAAGAGGAAAATGAGATAAAAAGTAAGTTTATACTCTTTCCATTAGCACAGAATTAAACCAGAAGACAACAATTCCCATTATCTTCTTGAAGAAATAGGTAATACTTTAAATAAAATCTAGCTCAATTATGAAAGAAAAAAATAAATCACCAAAACACCACCCTGCATCATACACGAAGGAGTCTCCCTAGCTATTACTTTCTAGGTTGTTCAAGGTTTGGTTATTTTTGGTTGAATACAATTTACAAAACAGCGAACTATGCCTTAATTCTATGTTTGAACTATGTCATCCCAGTTTACGATGTTAAAAAGAATCAAAATTTAGCATTTTGCATGGATGAAGTCACTGAAAGTCAAGTCTACCATAGAAATGAGAAGTACCTTCAGGGGTGGGCTTCAAAAATTTTAGCAAGGAGTTCTCTGCCCAGTTGCTGGGTGAGTGTGGCTATGGTGGGCGTGGCCTAATCGACCTCCTGCACCAAGATGGGGGGGGCGTGTTTTTGCCCTCCCCGGGCACTGGAGGCTTTCCTTGAGCTTCCAGGAGAGCGAAAACAGCCTCCCCAGGCTCCGGAGGCCCTCTGGAGGCTGGAAACGGGCCTGTCTCCGGCCTTCCCAAACTTCCGGTAGGCCCGTTTTCCGCCCTCCCCGAGCTTCCATGCGTGCCCTAGAAAAATGGGAGGGGTGGGGCCAGCCAGGACTGGGATTTGGGGTTTTCCGAACTCCACAGAACCTTAGCTAGAGGTTCTCCTGAACCCCTGCAAACCCCCAGCAGCTCACCCTTGAGTACCTCCCAAATTCTTGGATTATTTTCCCATTGGCATACCTATGCTAAGGCAGCTTCTCCTGCAAGGGAAAAGAGCAGGGAGATCGGTTGCTCTTCATTACAGGTAGTCCTCGACGTACAGCCACAATTCAGCCCAAAATTTCTGTTGCTAAGTAAGACGTTTGATAAGTGAGTTTTGCTTCATTTTACGACCTTTCTTGCCACAATGGTTAAGCGAATCACTGCAGTTGTTAAGTAAGTTACACAGTTAAGTGAATCTGGCTTTCCCATTGACTGCCTGTCCAAAAGTCGTAAAAGGGAATCACATGATGCTGGGACACTGCAACCACCTTAAATATGAACCAGTTCTCAAGCATCTCACATGAGATGCTTGACCACGACTGTGGGGATGCTGCAATGGTTGTACATCTAAAAAATGGTCAAAAGTCACTTTTTTCAGTGCTGTTGTAACTTCAAACGGTCACTAAATGAACTGTTGTAAGTCCTGTAGTACAGTTTGTTTGTACTTATCCTACAAGTTGCCTACCTGCTACGTTTAAGAGGGTGAAACCTAAGTAATAATCACTTATTTATTTAGAGTCTTAGAGTGAGCATAATTTTCCATTATTACCTTTTAATAGCACATGGCTGATAGGACACTTGATATTCTTTGGAGTTCAGGTCCCATAGATCCTATCAGCATTAATGTAAAATCTAGACCTTTAAAAAATCCTGCTATATGGGAAATAGGTAACCAGTGCTATTTTCCACATAGCAGGATTCAAACTAGAATATTTAAAGATACTACTACTAGTAGTAGTTCTTTTAGACCCGAGTGGCTATCTTTCTTAGATAGTAAACTTTGAGGGCTGAAAGAGCCACTGTATAACCTATCTTGTATTTGTGCATACAAGAACATCAAGCAGGGAAGACATAACATATGCTCAAATCCTTGTTTCTCTTTACATGTTCTGCTCATGGCTGCCATCTTGACTTTTTTGACTCCACCTGAGGATACCCATGGATGCATGCTATCACAGGGTGCAAATCATGAGAAAGTTTCATTAAAGAATAAGGCACATCAATGTAAGAATAGAATCGAACAGAACAGAACAGAACAGAACAGAACAATAACAGAGTTGGAAGGGACCTTGGAGGTCTTTTAGTCCAATCCCCTGCTTAGTCAGGAACACTATTCCATTTTAGACAAATGGTTATCTAATCTCTTCTTTAAAACTTCCAGTATTGAAGCATTTACAACTTCTGGAGGCAAGTTGTTCCACTGATTAATTGTTCTGTCAGGAATTTTCTCCTTAATTCTAGGTTGCTTCTCTCCTTGATTAGTTTCCATCCAGTGCTTCTTGTCCTGCCCTCAGAAGCTTTGGAGAATAGCTTGACTCCCTCCTCTTTGTGGCAGCCCCTGAGATGGGTTAATGCTAGATGGGTTCTTACAAAGTTCAACCAACATACCTCTAAGGCCCCAATTCCAGCTGCAACTCCACCCACTACAGCTGCATTCTTACGAATTTCAGTCAGCATCTGATCGAAGCAGCCCTGGAATTAAAATTAAAGAAAAATCAGTTAAATTTAAAAAGCCTTGGCAGGAGCCTTGGTAATACAGTGGTTTAAAGCACCCTGTTATTAACACAGCTGCCTGCAATTACTGCAGGTTCGAATCTTCCCAGGCTCAAGGTTGACTCAGCCTTCCATCCTTTCTAAGGTAGGTTAAATGAGGACCCAGTTTGTGGGGGCAATAAGTTGACTTTGTATAAATATACAAAAGTATGGAGGCTATTGCTTAACGCATTGTAAGCCGCCCTGAGTCTCCGGAGAAGGGCGGCATATAAATCAAAAATTAAAAAAATTAAAAAAATTAAAAAAATTAAAAAAATTAAAAAAAAGAACTGCTTGTCTCTAGAAATTCCAAACCCCATTAGCCTGGGAAGAGTTCAAAGGTGCCATTGAATTTGGCTGGTATTCATCACAGGTCTTTGTAGAAGAGTGAAGTCCTGAACTTATTTGAGATCCAAATTTTTAAAACACTGTGTCAGAAATGCCAAGTATAGAATCTGGGTGCTAGATCACTGAAGGTCATTCCACAAAGCCTTGCCCCACTTTCCTCCAGAATAGACATGTTTTCATACCTTCACTGCAAAGCTTTCAGCTACAGTTCTATTGCAAGTAGAGGCAGAGAGAGACAAGCTGGAAGAATTGCAGCATTGCTCTGGATATAAGTCCTTTGAGTTCTTGTAGAAATAGGAGTCATCAAAGTCTGTGTAATTTGATAAACCACAGCAATTCAGCTAAGGAGAAAAACATATATTAAGATTAGAGTTCACATTCACCCACAGGGGATTGCATTAGAAGACCTTCAAGGACCCTTCCAATTCTATTATTCTGTTATTTATTTATTCTTTTTCAACATACAACATACAATCCTCAATAAAAACTCCTTACCCGCTAAGAATCCCACTGCAACTATCTTTTCTTTTATATTAATGCTTGTCTGTTTATAAGCGAACATTAGAAGCATTAAGATGACTCTCAATAAACTATGATACAACTATTAAAAGTTTCTGAGATGAAGACAATCTTCCAACTTTGAGGTAAAACTAACCGGCAGCTGTAAAGAAAGCAACATCATTTCTGCTTAGGCGCAAGGGAGGTTTCTACATTTTCTCATAAAAATCTTGCATATAATGTGGAGATTGGAGTACCAACTTACTTTAGTCATTGTAATATTCCATGCTTCAGTAAGTGGGTTAGGTTTCCCATAGTCATCTTTTAGTAATTTTGCCACTGTTGCTTGCAATAGAGTCTGTGCCTGAAAAGAAAAATTATTCAAAACATATGAGAACATATAATAAGCTTTCCATATAATTAAAGATGCAAGGCCATTCTTTCATCTCAGTATCTGTGGAATTATTAAGGTTCTACTTCCCCTTCTGTAGGTCCTTTATGTAGGGATAGAAGGCCTTTTGTGGGCTGCTAAACACATATGGAATCAGGGGGAAATATCATTGACACTGTCACATAATGTCTTCCATAATGGGTATTCATGTAGTGAGATAGCTCCCCACCAACCTTTTTGAGGCATTCTAGCATCTTTGCTTATCTTGGGCATCAATAGGCACAAAATATGCAGCCATTCACCAATTTTATTTTCTAAAAATATTTATTGAGTCTATGTGGGAACCAGCCAGAGGTGGAGGTATGGGTTGTGGGTTTTTTTAATGATATTAAAGGTCAAGACATTACAGTATACCTGCTTCATTTATTCCGTTTCAGTGAAAAAAAATATTTTAAAAATAAGACCAAGTACTGAGGGAGCCTGGCAGGTGGTCAAGGAAATTAACCATGGATGCACTGGGGCTAATGGGTATTAGGTTGCCTAGCCCTTTCCTTCCAATAAAAACCAAAATTCTGAGACACATGAAAACATCTATTTTCTCTGCATTATTGTTATTCAGTGATGAGCTTCTTAAGGTGATTCCATTCATTTCTATGTCATTTGATCATTCAGGGTTGAGCTTCCATTCATATCTATGTCACTTTTTTATCAATTCAATCTCCTCTTAACATCACAGAAGAATGCAGCGGGCACTGAAGAAACAAGACTACTCATAACCCCTTAGGCATCACAGATGAGAGTGCTTGGCGTTCCAAAGATGTAATTCTACGGCAAAGAATTCAAGTCTGTGCTACAACTCATTTTGTTACTGCCCATGGTGATTGCCAAAAATGGGCAATAAAGCAAGCCACCTTTAATTTTTAAAAAGAAGGTAAACAGCAAACCACAAATAAGTGTCTACCTGGTTTTCCACAAATCAATGCTTTGTCAAATGGGGAATAGCTATACTTCTCTATACAGATAGGCTATGTAGAACATTTCTCAAAAATTGCTGTTTGGATACGTAATGCCAAATATCCTTTACAATGCAGAGGATATGCAGCACAATCTTGCTTGTGCCCTGCTGGGTTCAATAAACTTTCTTCCTCACCATCCCCATATACCTATACACAAAGTTTGAATCAGGGACCAGGCTGAGAGAAGATGGCTAAGAGAAAGTGAGATGTCCTTCTTTTCTTATGATATGGACATTAGAGTAGGCTACTTTCCATTTTATTCCTGAGGAAACAAGCCAGTGCATTTATGTCTCATTGGGTCTTGGGTGCAGAACAAACATATGCCATAAGAAAAATAAAGATTTGGAAAAATAATAATAATAATAATAATAATAATAATAATAATAATAATAATAGTAGTAGCACTCTTACTAAGTTGTATGCATTTCTCCCTAACAAGGACAGACCATTATTACACAAAAGCTAAGAAGTAAGGTATCTTAACCTCATTGGTAATCTAACATTTAGGGTACATTAAGTGGAATATCTGTATTTACTTGAAATCCTGAAATACTACTCACAAACTAGCGTATTTTCTATTCCATGATACTTACGAGTGATGTGTAGACCAAAGCTACCACTGCACCAGCAACTTCAATTATAAAGATGATCAGGATAATGCTGAAGAACTAGGAAGAGGGACAATACAGTAATAAGTTTGCTTATTCTACAAAGTATTAATTCAAAAATGAAGCATTGGATGCTCTTGGCCAAGTGTGTTCCATCTCTGGAAAAATAGCTGCTTATAAGCAGCTTTCTCAGTCTGAAAGGCTGCTATGAACAGATTTTAAAGGGAATTAGCCCATTTTATATGGGGTTTCTCATATAAAACTCAAGCTCATATTCCTTCTTTTACTTTCACTGCACCTTCTTATTTGGATTCCTAGATTTTTCAGAATAACTTTTTATTAGCCTAAATTGCTATTGTAGTGGCAGTGTGGAAGACCCTTGATATTTTCATAAGTTTAGTGACAGAATTTTGATTTATCCTTCATATTAAGAAAGTTCTTTAGAAAATTCTGAGCTAAGCTGCTTGTGGTTTTTTTGCTCTTGTTTACTAAACAAAGGAGGAAGTGGAAATCTTCATATAACTTCAAAGCTTTTCTTGCTGTGAAAGTCTCAGACTCTCGATTCCCACCCCTGAATTATTTGCCACCAAACCAAGGTCAAAGTCTGTAGTCTCCTGACCATATCAGGGCCTTGAGGTCATGGTGTCAAGTTTTGATAAAAACCTTGAAGTTGTTGTTTGTTGGGAACTTCTGCACAAAATTGGTGTTGTTATTAAAGAGTTCCTGACAGTCTGTAAGAGATGTGGATATTATCTTTCTTGCTATGCATGCTTTTTGTGTTATGTTTTTAAATCTGTTTGCTTGAGCTAATAATCAGGCTTAAAATCCCTTTATTTACTTGGACGTTCATTGTTTCTGAGTCCAAAACAACCAATTGCCTGGGCAACCAATCGTTGCCCTGACACTTGGCAAAACAGTTATGATTTAGTATGTTGTTTGAACAAGACCTTATTTCCTTGTTCAAGTTATCTAACAGGGAAATAAAAATCAGCATTTACCAACAATAGCTGGAATATGTACTTTAAAAAAAATAAATAACAACTTAGTTTTATGACCCCAAAAAGGGGGAAAATATAATCACAAATAAGGAAACACTATATTCAAAAATATTGACTTGTTATTTACATACAAATTAAGGAATCAAGAAATGAACTTTTTTAAAAAACCAACTTGTTACTATCCAAAAAAGATAGAAATTCTATCCCTACTATATCTGGATTAATGACTTCAGATCTTTTCCTTTAAAAAAAAATATCCTCAATGAATAGTTTTCAATAATGCCTTCATCATGTTGGGTTTCATTACATACTTTAGTATCAATCAACACTTTTATGCAGCAAACAATGAAAACGCTTTGCAGAATTTACCGTGATCAGAAGGCACTTGCTCTCTTTCTGCGCTCCACAGCATCCGAGGAAGCCCAGCAGGAACAGAATAACTCCAATGGCAATGAGGAGGTAACCAACATGCACAAATTGGAGGACACTGGCGGATATCGCACCAAATATATTGAGGAAGGATTTACTGTCAACAGTAACCCAGATCCCGATGCCCAGCAGCGTTGCTCCACCAAGCTAGACAAAAAAATATATATATGTTCACGTGTAGGTAGTGGAGGTGTACGTGCACATCCATACATCCAGAATTGTTATCTTTAGCTCTGCACTTGTATCACATGTGATTCACCATATTGAAAAGACTTCAGACAAGTACTTGGAGGCTTCAGTTTTCCCACATCCACAATTCTGCAGTCAAACATGCTTCTCGAGTTCTTGCTAGCCACTGCGTATAACTGGTAGATTGATTTCAGCAAGAATAATTATTATTCACCAGAAACAACTGTTTCTAATTAGGAATTTCTAACTTCTCATCAAAAGGTGATGTGAGAAAGCCAAAATATCATCTTAAATATCACCTTTAAGTAAGACTATGCATTTTATTTATTTATTTCTATTAAATTTATACGGCTGCTCATTTCCCCAGGAGCAACTCTGGGTGGCAAACAACAATCAATATAAAAATATAAAACAATTATTATTAATTTTAAAAGAAATCATTAAAAATTAAAATATAGAAACCATAAGATAGAAAGATAGTAAATATATCAACTCCAATAGTGGAGAAATCTTAAGAGTACAGATAGTCCTTGACTTACAACAGTTCATTTAGTGACTGTTTGAATTTACAACAGTACTGAAAAAAATCACTTAAGTTTTTCACACTTAAAATTGTTGCAGCATCCCCATGGTTACATGATCAAAATTCATACTTGGCAACTGACTCATATTTATGATGGTTGCAGTGTCCCAGGGTCATAAGATCATCTTTTGCGACCTTCTGACAAGCAAAGTCAATGGGGAAGCCAGTTTCACTTAACAACCGTGTTACTAACTTAATAACTAGGGTGATTCACGTAACAACAGTGACAAGAAAGGTCATAAAATCGGGCAAAATTCATTTAACAATTGTCTCACTTAGCAACAGATATTTTGGGTTGAATTGTGGCTGTATGTTGAGAACTACCTATATTACTAGTTCCCTGGAATCCCCAAACCTAGCGAGATAACTAGTTCTTGATGAACTTCCGAAATGTTAACAGAGATTGAGCTAAACTAACTTCAGGACTGAAGAATGTTCCATAAGGCGGGCACCACAGCAAGATGGCCTGCCTCCCGGGACCCATCAAATATTTTTTGATATTGGCAACTGATCTTATAGTCTAGTCCCCACATACACAGTTGAACTAGAATTGTGTATAACTATAATCACTGCCTTACAGCTTGACACCTACAATCTAGACTGCATTTTGACATAATCCTTATGAAAACTACATTTATCCCTTAAAACGTTTTGCAATATTTCTTGGGCAGCTTTTTTGACTTATTAAAGCATCACATTTATGTCCTTTAGTGTAAACACTAAATTACCTTTTAAAAGGTTTTAAAAGTCAAAAAGTAAAATTCATGAAATTTGAAAATAAGCTTAATATTTAAGCTAGGTTTATCATGGCCTACTCTGGAATCCTGATTTATTTCCATTTCCTACAAACTGGAGATACTTCCCTATTTGTGATTCTATCAAAAAATAATTAGGACTCAAACAAATATGCTTTAACATTGCTAACATATTTAATGCAGCACTAAATATCATCAGTCCTGTATGATTACTTTACATTTATTTCTATTTAAGGAAGTTATATAGATTTAACCATTGTACAGAAGATGATATTTCAGCAGGTATAATGCCAAATCTTACTCTTCTGCATTGTTCTAAAATGCATAGAAGCCCCATTTTCTCTGACCCTGATCAATCTTCCTCAGATAATTTTATAGTCCTTTGTATTCAACAAGCTGTGATGCTATTGTCTATGGAGATTCTCAGGCATCTAGGTCATGGTTGTCCTGAGCAGTGGTAATATATGCAGTACAATACAGTGAGACATGTACAAACATTGGAGAAACAAAACAATCACTTCACAAACGTATGGCACAACAGAGGAGAACAATCCCATCAGGACAAGATTCAGCTGTCCATCGGTATTTGAAACACAAAGTCATACTTTTGAAGCAGCAAAGTCCACATTCTGGACAGAGAAGACCACTGGTTTGAAAGAGAGTCAAAGAGACCATCTACGTTGAAATTGATCAGGCCTTCCTCAACAGAGGGGGAGGGATATACCACCGCCTATTTTCTGTTTACAACACAGTCCCTTCCCACAGTTCCACACTCATTTGCACTATTTGGGTGACCCTGAGAGCACAGATAAATCTCCAAATGGCCTCAATGACTCAGAGAGATTGCTAACAACTAGATGACTGCAAGAAATATAACAGGGGTGAAATCCAGCAGGTTCTGACAGGTTCTGGAGAACCGGTAGTGGAAATTGGAGTAGTTCGGAGAACCAGTAGCAGAAATTTTGAGTAGTTCTGAGAACCAGCAAATGCCACCTCTGGCTGGCTCCAGAGTGGGGTGAGAATGGAGATTTTGCAATATCCTTCCCCCAGGAGTGGGGAGGGAATGGGGATTTTGCAGTATCCTTCCCCTGCCATTCCCACCAAGCCACACCATGCCCAAGCCACGCCCACAGAACCAGTAGTAAAAAAAATTAGATTTCACCACTGATATAAATCCTTCAATTCTCCACCATTCAGTCAGAAGTGAAGAAGCTTCTTGGATGAGAAACGAAACCTCTTCAAGGAAAAGCAAAGTTGCCCTTTGGAAAAACACCTTTGGGACTATGATTCTATTTTTCGAGCACAGGAAGAATCATTGCAAATTTCCCAGCCTTTCAAGGAGGTGTTATCAGAAGCTATCAAGCATTTCAACTGTGTAAATATTCCTTTTTAAGTGAACAATGCCTGTAACATAATTCACAAACATTCCTAAAGAGGTCAAAGCAATTGTCCTTGAACACAGGTGCAGGTTTTATTTGCTTTCAAACAAAAGGACAAGCCACAAAACCTATATCTAAATATTGGTGCCAGGCTGAATACATGGGGTCTTTGGGATGAAAAGTCACTTCCTTTCTAGATAAACCATATCACAATTCCCAGATTTGTAGAACAGATTCAGAAAATCTGAACTCACTTTGCTAAAAAACAAATTGCTGCCAGATTCATTTGACCTCTCAGAATTATTATTCAATAAACAGCATGAGCTAATACAGTAATTGCTGAAAGGGTTGTACATGCAGCTTCTCTGGGAAAGAAATGAGCATTGCCCTATAAAAATAATTCAGAAATTCAGGATTTTAGGACAGTTGATCAGGCACAATTGCATCTTTCTAAAAACAAGGGGCAAAACATGATATCCACTATTGTTCTAAATTAGTATTTTTAAAGTGTCATTTTTGTTTCTCTAGGACCGTGATGGCAAACCTATGGCACGCGTGCCGCAGGTGGCACACAGAGCCATATCGGTGGGCACGCGAGCTCAGCTCTGCTGTATATGTGCACACCAGTCAGCTGATTTTTTGGGCCTTCTGGTCCCATTGGAAGTCGGCAAACAGGCCGTTTCCGGCCTCCTGAGAGCCTCTGGGAGAGGGTGAGGAAGGCAGTTTTTGCCCTCCCCAGGCTCCTAGAAAGGCTCTGGAGCCTGGGGAGGGCGAAAAATGGGCCTACCAGGCCCACCGTGCCATCACATGGCAAAAGCGGGGGAAATGCAGGGGGGGCACGCACACATGCATGGGGGCGGGGCACATAGAATTATGGGTGTGGGCACACGTGCTGCCGACCCCCCCCGCACTCTCCTCACTTTTGGCACGCGATGGCAAAAAGGTTAGCCATCACTGCTCTAGGACTTTACACCTTCATCCATATAAAAGCCCTATTTCAAGGAACTGACCTTTATTAAAAAGTAGGTAAATAATTCCAGTGATCCTAATTTTTCTAAGGAGAATTAGAAGGCAACCCTGCATTGTAGATTGATGTTGTTTTGTATTTTGTAGGCTGCTTTTTGTGTAATGAACATTCATAGGGTGAACATAAAGATGACTATAGTGGTCCCATAGTTTTTTTTCATAAATCTCTATTAGGGGACTGCATGACAGTCTGAGAAGGGATAAAATAAAGTGGTGAAGCTACTCCCTTTTTCTGATACTATCTTTTTTTCTCACTTTTCAGTATATTTCCTTCTCAATCTTTCTGTTCCTGACACTCTTCTCTCCCGGTCTCCCCCCCCCCCCCGCCCCCAAAAGGTAGATCATAAAAAAGGCGGAGGTCTAATTTAAATGTTTCAGAACATATTAAATTAGAACTAGGCTGTAGGCCCACAGTTTACCCAGATTAAAACAGGGAAAAGAAACACAGGGATAGGGAGTTACTGGGGAGGGACACAAAATGAGTGCCACATTTTGAATAATGTCACGGAATAAAGAGATTGAGGGTAAGCATCTACAGAAAATGCAAATATGTTGCAGCTGCATATGCGAGCCATGTAAATGACAGTTGCATATATACTACGCTTTGATTCAACAAAGATTTAGTCAAGCCAACCAATTATAGTAAGTCGAAGGAGAGATCCAGTTTGAACCAAATCCAATAGCCTAACCTCAACTCCATAGAAGCACATTTATAGGAAGTGTACACGGCACAAAAAAACTTAGCTTGTTTAATCATGGTTTGTTAATCAAGTCATAATGACCTGTTCAAACATACAACTAAGTCCTAAACCACAATTTACAAGCCACATATTTTATCTGTACTTTTTGTGTTTTATTGATTTTATTGTACTTTCTTATTAGATTGTTGTGAAACACTCAAAAGTTTTTTAAAGTAGGGCAGCCTACAGGTTTATTAAATTATTATGATTTGTCGCACTGTCATCCAGATGTTCAGACTGGATTTGGCATTTTTGTCTACCTATCAAGTCCTTTCCAAGGACGCAGGATAAGGTAGATATGGATGTTTGATAGTGTCACAGATATTGTTGCAGGATATAAACTGTTCAGAGTAAAGACACTTTTTGCAATTGACTGATGTTGCATTTGTCAATGCCAATGGTGTTCAGTTGGTGCTCCAGTTATTGTCCTATGTCTTGATGTGATTGTATGGTTTTGGTATAATGCAATTTATGAAACCGGTCACCAACTACCACATACTTTAATATAATTGATGTCACTTGGCCACATATCAAGCAGGCATAGCCAGGATGAGATGTCATTCTACATGCAGTCCTCAAACGTTTCTCAGACATTAATTTATATTGTTCCCCATATTGTTAGTGTGCAGAAGCCATGTATGGGCTAATGGTTAAGATATTGGAAAAGAAGTGAAAAGACCCCCACTTCTTCAACCATGGATATCCGTTGGGTGACTTAAGGCAATCTTCCCCTGAGGCCAACCTACCTACTTAGCCATTGTTCTCGGGGGGGGAGGAATAGCTCTTGTTCCATGCTTAATTATAACACCAAATAAAAATATTATGTAAAGATCTTTTTCTTCTTTGCATGTTGATTTTCATAGATCAATTTCCCAGATAAGCATCAAGGACAGGAGGGAAAGGAGAAACATCCAAATATTAGCTCCAAACTGCATTCCTTCCTTTCAGCACAACATATACAAGCACTTCTTGCTTGTTCTATGAAACCCTTTTTTGGGATTGTAGCAGGGGTGAAATGCTCCTGGTTCAGACCGGATCGCCCGATCCTGTAGCGATGGAGGCGGGTGGTTCGGAGAACCGGTAGCAAAAATTCCTGCCCAACCCACATTGCCCAGCTGAGCCGCACAATCATCAGAGGCTTTTTTTTATTTTTAAAAGCATTTTTTCTACAACCTCTTTGGCCAAAAAAATGCTTTTAAAAGTAAAAAAAAAAAGTCTCTGATGATTGCGCGGCTCAGCTGGGATCATCAGAGGCTTTTAAAAGCATTTTTTCTACAACCTCTTCGACCGAAGAGGTTATAGAAAAAAATGTTTTTAAAAGGAAAAAAAGCCTCCGCCAATCAGGCAAGTCAGCTGGCATTGTCAGAGGCTTTAAAAAAAAAAAAGCTTCTGCCGATCAGGCAAGTCAGTTGGGATCGTCAGAGGCTTTAAAAGCATTTTTTTTACAATCTCTTCAGCCGAAGAGGTTGTAGATAAAATGGTTTTAAAAGTAAAAAAAAAAAAGTTGGCAATGCCCATTCAGTCATATTACCCCACAACCACCAAGCCACGCCCACAGAACCGGTAGTAATAAATTTTACATTTTACCACTGGATTGTAGGATGGGGCTTAAACACCAATCTTTTTACCCTTTTAGCAGTCCAGAACCCTTTGCAAATGGGAAGTATATACAACTGTAGAATTAAGTGGGGGGAAAAATCAACCTGAAATCCTGGGGCCCCTAAAAGCCCCTAATTCTTTTCAACACCCACAGAGTTTACTTCAAATATAGCCACAGGATGTTTAGCAAGAGCTGTATGAGCAACTGCTCTTTCTTCAAGCTTTGAAACTAGGTGTATGCTAAAGGTGTCAGTTCAAGCTGACATTCAAGACTTCCTTGAGAACATTAGCCAGGTATGGAGAAAGACGGCTGCACTGCTTTTTGAAATGTCATTTATAGAACAAGTATGACATCAAAGCCACACCCACAGAAACCATAAAACTGACTCAGTTTGTCCGAGAAACATGAATAGATTTTAATGACTACCTTTGACTTGAGCCACAATTGTACTCAAGTTATCCATTGTCAATTTGAGGCTTGGCCTTTCTTTGCAGAAAAGCATATTTCCTTAGGAGGACTACCTGTAATACAACCTAAAACAACCACACAGCAACACTTCTAATTGTTCTACCGGTAATTGCAGCCCCCAAAAACCGCTAGAAACACAGAAAAAAAAATTCCTACAAGCCAACCATATTATTAAATGACTGTTTCATGTTATTTTCAAATAGTTTAATCTGTGAGCTGACGTAACTACAACTAATATTTGCAGGCAAACTTCAGCTTCATTGAATATATGATGCAAGTCACTAGAAGCCACAACATACAGGCATGAAGTGGCCAGCAGATCATCTAATATAACTTCTAAGACTGTTTACCATGAATTTATGGGACAAGCGGACAAAACAATAGTAGAATCATGACTAAGGGAGAGGAAGTTTGGACACTGATCCTTCCATATATGTATGTGTTCTTTCCCAAGGACTGTCACCAACCTGCCCCCCAGAAAGCGCTATTCGCTAACCAGGGATTATATTTATATTGTAGTTGTGACCATCTCCTACCACATATCTTATTATACCCAATGATTATTCGCATGCTGAATTTTTGATAAACTCACTTGTTTCTATTAAATCATTCATAGTTGACTGGTAGAACCGAGTTGGCAAAGGTTACTACAGCATGTGATCACCAGAGATTAATTGTAAGATAAAGACACAGCTTGCCATAAACATGCTAATAATGTGCTGTAAACCGATACCTGCCTGATATGCTCTTATAGAGAAGAATAAACTTGATGGTCTAATCTGTCCTTCATTAGAATTCATTAGAATTCTAAATATGTCTACTCAGACTTGCTTTGACTTTGTGTTTCAGCTTCACATATGTCTTATTTCATACCTATTAAACATACAGTACAGACATGGAGCTAAAAGGAGGTGAAAAAGGTTCTTTCACCCACTCATTATTTCACAAGAATGCAAAGCACCTCACTGCTTATTTACAAAAAAAAAGAGGTAAGTACTCACAAATATGGCCAGGTTAAACAAAATCATCATAACCTTCAGGAATGTAAAGCAGCTCATTTTGACAGCTGTAAAAAACAAATAATGAAGAACTTAAACAACAGCAGGTCAAGAAACTTTTAGAGAACTAAATCCAACCGATATTCAAAAATGTGGACACAAATTTCAACCTATGGTCTGGTGTTTACAAACTCTCGGTGTGACATTCAAACGGGTTTCTTTGAGGGTAAAAGCCTATTCTGAATTTTATTATTATATGGATATTGTTGGGCAATATTTGGATAAGAGACTTATGTATTGATCTAAAAGCAGGGATGTGTTAGCCTTAAAGGCCAATGTCCCATTAATTCACATCACTTCCGGCTGGAGCCTCATTGACCAAAATTGTAGAAGCAGAACTCCAGCATATAGAACTGTGGTTTAGATAAAAATCTTTTTAGACACCCTTAAGATCAATATCCATTCTGCAGAGCACTAGAAAGATATGCTAAATTAAAAGGAAATAATAAGAAAAACCCAGCAGACTTTATCCAGTACTCTTTTTTTCTTCACCTAATGGCTTTCATAGCACTGGTCAGCACTGGCAGTATCAGAATTGAAAAGAGCTCAACTCCCACTTCTTGCCATAATCCAGATTAAAATATCCCCAAAAGATTCTTGTCTAGACTCCTCTTGACCTTCAGTATTTGGTTCAACACTACATTGTTCTTATTGTTAATGTCCTTCCAATATTTAATTGGAATCACTTTTCTAGTAACTTACATCTAGGATTTGAAAGAGCAGGTTTTGCCTTTTTCAAGTATTATTGCACCATCTGTATCTTCTCAGTTTAAGGCTAAATTTCCCCAAGTTTACCAATCTCTGTTTTTAGCACTTAATTTCTAGTCTCCTGATGATTCTTGTTGCCCTTCCTTGAACTTGTTCCAGTTAGTTTGACTAGTGCAGTACTCAAGGCAGGATCTGGCCAGTACAGAAATAAATCAGAACTATTCAAATCAAATCAGTTTTTTTCCTATGATCTAGAAACTATAATTATAAAGTCTAAAACAACATTTGACTTTTTACCTCAACAGCAACAATACATTATTGTTTCATATTCAGTTGATCGATTATCATGTCAATATTTTTTCACAAGTTAAATTGCTGAGTCTCCAGTTGCATTAATGGAAGTGACAAAGTGGTCTGGACAAATAAGGCTAAAAGAGATATGTTCCCCTACATCCTCATCTTTACTTGGTGTTACTACAAAAGAAGTTATTCCAGAGTTGATTTTTAAATCTTTAGAATTGTTTGATATAGTAATATTGCAATAACAACAACAAAACTAAAGACAGAAATTATATATAATATCAGAGTAAATAGCACAGATAAAAGGCAGTTAAAAACAACAGACAAGTCCTTTGGTTTTAAAGAAATAAACATTAAATAATCCTCATTTTCTTTTACTAAGGTCAAATTAAAAACTGAGGCTAATTCTTATGCATATCAATCTTTTTTTTCAAATATGCAAGAATCCTTAGAAACAAAGGTCCTTTGTCATTAGTTCATAAATACACAAGGAACTTACCTTTAAGGGCACCAACTAACTCCAAAATCAACCTGAACAAGTCTCACTATCTTTACACTTGACAAAGCAATCAACTCTTAAGTAATATGAAGAAATTGTTTCGGCCTATTAGATGAATCACCTTTTCGAGCCAATCAAATCTCTGTAAGAGCTAAGGCCACACCTCAGCAATTTATTTCTTTTAAAAAAAAAACACCCATAGGACTACTAAACCACGTTCCTTTATTCTTTACTGCTCCCTTGTGGTTATAGGTGAATGGTGTTTTTTTGTTTTTGTTTTTTTTTAGCTTTACGGCTGGTTTGAACAACTCTATGTGTATAATACAATGCATGAAGGAGTTGGAGACAAATAGTTGGAAGCAGCCAACTATTTACAGAAGAAACGCGCAGAAGAAATTAAAACTGATGCTACAACGTTGCTTGGCTTCCAATAGTAGAGATAATAAGGAGAAACCCAGACAGAACTATGGGTTGGGCTGGTTTTGTGCAATCTGGTTGGCTACTTAGTGCTGCCATCTCACTTCCAATCATAACACCGCTGCTTCCAGTCCCCAAACCTCCAAGGGATCAAAAAAAGTCCAGCTTAATATATATGCATTTCCAACTGAGTCCAGCTTAATGTATATGCATTTCCCTTCATGCGAAAACCAATTGCAAAGTAAATAAGTGATTGGCCAAAAAATGTTCTTACAAAATTTGAGTGGGAGGAAGGTAGGCATGCATTACTCTTGACAGGATGCAAGTTATAGCAGCCATTTTGGTGACTTCTGTCTTTCTCCTGGAATCACAACTCAAATAGCCTGGAATTTTCTTGACAGCTAAGATCTTTGTATGGATTAGCATCATGGCTGCTGGTGGCCAGAAGGAGATGATCATAGGAGAAGATCATAATCATCAAGGATGATTATTTAATGGTGTTTTGTAGTGTGGGCTAGATGAGGTTGGATCTGCCTTTTGCCTTCAGATGAGGAATAGGGAGGGGAGAAATTCTCCCCGCCAGGCCTGCTGGGTCTGAGGTAACTCTGCAGTTTGGTTGAGGTGCCCCTATGCAGTGGAGGGCAGGATTGGTAGTTGGATCAGACCAGCTCAGCTCTGGATGTCTTGCTCAGTGATTATTTTTCTCAGACTATGGTCCTAAAGAGAGAAGAATCTGGAACCAACATCTGGATCTTTACTTACTTTTAACTGCATTAAAAAATAAATTGAAATAATATACCACAGGATATCTTGCTGGGTTCTTTTCCAACTGACCAAGTTTTTTTTCCAGTTTTGAAATAAATGACATTTTTCTTTCCTCATATTATTTCCAGGTGAGGCAATGATTGAGTAATTGCCATGCTTCCGATATGTAATTTTATGGAAGATTCAGACATCATCCTTATCCTCATCATCTATTTGTTTTTGTTTTGTTTTTTTCATTTTATCTTATTTTCCTTAAGGGGAAAAATCTATTTAGGAGAAATATGTGGAATAGCTGCCCATTGACTTCTGATTATTAGAGCTTTTCTTTTCTTGTATCTAATTATGTCACAAATATATATCAGCAACAACTTTTTTAATGCTCTTCTTCATGACATTGTCTGATTTGATTTCCAGCCTATACAAATAGATTTACTTAGTGACCACAGCTGGGACTGGAAACTCAATCTTAAGCAGTCACTAAATGAAACCACAACTGTGCTTTAACTTTCCTTTGCTTCACAGACCTTGAAGGGTCATAAATACAAGAATACTTTTTCATCACCATTGTGACTGCAAATTGTTGCTAAATGAAGACTACCTGTACAGTATCTAAAGCAGCCTTAAATTGTTGTCTTTGTTTCAGAATTTACTGTACCAGTACTACTGTTTTCTTCCCATTCCTACATACACTTTGTTATGGGTGCAGACTGACATGCTTCACCAATCAATCTGTTGGTGGCACAGCTAAGTGACTATCAAAGGTGAGAGCAGCCTATAGGCATATCATCTGCTTTCTGGTTTCTGACTTCCATGGAGTGTGTGTGTGTGTGTGTGTGTGTGTATGTGATTTAAAACAATTACCTTGAAGAGTTTCAACACAATGCATACCTTTTAAAAATCCCCATAAAGGTTTTAAGACTCAGATGTCAACCATTGCCAAATATAGTATGGAGAAAGGAGAGCACAGCAGCCTATAATTTATCCAGCAAAAAACTTAAATTGTATGGCCTTAGCAAGTGCAGAAAGCATCTTTCTCCAAATTAAAGAAAAAAAATCCATGAAAATGATAAAAGGCCATCTCTTGCTTTTTGTATGAACATTTTTTTCTTCACATGCTCTGTTTCCATCCATTTGGGTAGAAGATGAAAATCCTGGTCAAAGACAGAGCCACTTGGTAGCAGTCCAAGCCCTGGTTGCTTTTATTTGAATGATTGTCTTTTTTGATCTTTGCCAAGAGAATAATGCAAATAACTTTGTTAATGTTTTGCATGCAACACAGTTTAAGAGAATCAATTACAGTTTTCCCACCCATTCTATAATAGTTGGAGTCCATCAAGGACAACACAATCCTTAAGTAGGGTGAAGGAACCTTCTAAAGTTAGACAATCACAATGGCATTTCTTGTGATTTAAAAATGCTCTGACATAATGTGGTTTGTACGCCTTAGCATGTTGTAGTTTATCATGCAGTCTACAAATCACATGCAAACAAATCATGTGAATGTATAGCATTTGCAAATTCAGCCAACTGTAGTTTAGTACATTAAAAAAATGATTGCACAAATCATGGAGTAATTCAAAGAATGAACCTTTGACCTGTTCCATCTTTTGAAAGAGTGCTGTGAGTGCATTCTGTTTTACATCTTTTAAACTAGCCTACTTCCTCAGCTATAGTAATAATCAGTTTGATTGACATAATCAATCAATCAATCAATCAAAGAAATCTAGTTATTGAGTAGAATGCTCCCGAGAAGAGTCTTGTGACAGTCTGACTATGCTGTGTATGTCTCAGAAATAGTTCAGTTCAAAATTCAGTTTAGTAAATTAATATTTTAGAAGCTTTACTTTAATCTGGTAGGGCAATAAATAAAATGGAATCCTTCCTGGGATTCCGTAAGGGAGAAGTCCACACTGTGACACAATGAATTAAATCAGGGATGTCAAATTCACATCATTACGTCACATGATGTATCACGACTTTTTCCTCCTTCGCTAAACCAGGCGTGGGCATGGCCAGTACATGACACATCCAGCCCATGGGCCGTGAATTTGACAGCCCTGAATTAAGCTATGGTTTGTTTAAGCAGGTGTTGTTAAAGTATAATTGGGGAGACTCACATAAAATGCTAATCTATAAACTGTGCTTTATCAATTATAAAAACTAGATTTGTACCAAACGAAGCCTAACCTGCCAACAAGGCTAGATTCGATGTGTAAATCTAGATTTGGAATGGAAAACTTGGTCAAAGTCAGGGTAGATATCATCTTGCATTCTACACCATTGGGTATTCTCTCCCTTTCTACCTAGAAAAAGCTGACCAACTGACCAGCAAGAGTTCTTACATCTGAGTTCTCAACATGTGGGAAGGGCAGGAACACGGCCACAGTAAAGTTTTCTATGAGAAAATAGTCCTAGTTATTCTTCCACTAGAAACACAAGCCTACATCCCTTGGTTTCCCATATTTTGTGATGATATAACAAACAGAATTCTAAAGGAAAACAATAAACCTGCCATTTGAAAATTGAACTTTAAATGTTATGCTTTTTAACTCAGAAGGGTTTTTTTTTTTTTGAGACTTGAATTGTAAGCTCCACAAAAATAAAACAGGATTTAAAGATATACAAATGAATTAAAGTAGTACTTGAGTACTTTCTTGGCTTAATATTTTCACCCCTCCCTATCCTGCAACAGCTACCTGAACTGAATAATGAAAGCATTTTGGGAATACCTGTAAGTGTAGCATTTTCACTTAGCATCAAAGTAATGGCTAAGATAACACACTAATGCATGTCTTGAAACTCACTATACATGTGCTTAGCAGGACAAATAGTATAGTATGTCCCTACATGTTAGTTGGTGAAGCAATGTGGTAAACCAGAATGCAGAAACTTCAGGGCCAAACAACAGCTTCTTGCACATTAGTAAAAATTCTGTGATTCGCCTTGGTGACTTTTAAGATATGTGAACTTCAACTCCCAAAATTCTCCAGCCAGCAGGGGAGCTGAAATCCACATTTCTTAAAAATGTTCAGTTCACTGAGTTTCATATTTAATGAATAAAAGAGATAATAATAATAACAATAACAACAGCAATGTCTGAGGGGACCTTGGTGCTCTCTGAGCTTGCTTGTTTTCTTGAAGACATTTTATTATCTAACTAGGTAACAGTATCAGTGCTAGTAAGGAGTGCTGTTTGCTGGCAATTTATATTCTGGTGACTTGCCTGTCTGTGTAGGTGGGGGCAGTCTTAGAAATTATTTGGTTGGACTGTTTACTGATGGCTCTTTGGCAATTTCTTGATTGGGGTATTGTTTACTTGATTGTTGGTCTGAAGTTAACCTTGGAGTTAGCTATGCTGACCTAGGTCCTGATTACTGGTGGAGAGGTGCTGGAGTCTTTTTCTCTTTTGGGCTGGACAATTGTCTCTTTTGCATAGTCTATAGATCTGTCATGGTAAACCTATGGCATGCATGCCAGAGGTGGCACGCAGTGCCCTCTCTATGGGCATGCATGCTGTTGCCAGCTGTTCTTCTGCTTTCCGGTGCATGCATGTGCGCTGCCCAGGTGATCTTCGCACATGCTGGAGCCCCAGAAACCCGAAGGTCAGCTGGCTGGTGCGCATGCGCGCACTGGAAACTCAAACACCAGGTGGCTGGCACATGCATGCACACTGGCCACCTGGTCTTTGAGTTTCTGAGGGTCCGGAACACATGTTCCAGTTTGGTCACTTGGTGCCGAAAAGGTTTGCCATCACTGCTATAGATGTTGTTAATGTCTATGTGTCTATTGATGGCTGATTTGTCAGAGTGCCAGGCTTCTAGAAATTCCCTGTCATCTTTTAACTTGGCCTGGTCCAATAATAATGTCTTCTGTATCTCCGCTCTCCTTTCCTTTATTTATTTATTTTTTTAAATCACACAGC